CATTGGGTTATTATGAGGCTGAGTTATTCTGAAAGAGAGAGAAAGCTCTTCCGACTTCTTCTTCTCTCTCTCAGTGTTGTTGTGAAGGTTTCCTTTGCAAAAACACAGGCTCAGCATCTCTCAAATGTGCCCAAACCAAAAGTCGCCTTTGCTGCTGCTGGAGAAGGAGACGAAAAGGTCCTCTTCTCTGACTATCTTGATAAGTTATTTTGAAGCTCAGCCTCCCTTATCTGCTCCCAAAACAAGAGTCATTTTTGCTGCTGGGAAAGGAGAGGAAAAGCTTTTCTACTTCTCCTCTGCCTATATATCTTTGGGTTATTGTGAGGCTCAGCCTCCCTTATTTGTTCCAAACCAAAAATCTCTGTTGCTGCTGGAGAAGGAGATGAAAAACTCTTCTACTTCTTCTCTGCCTATCCATCATTGGGTTATTCTGAGGCTGAGTTATTCTAAAAGTGAAGAAAAGCTCTTCCGACTTCTTCTTCTCTCTCAGTTTTTTTGTGAAGCCTTCCTTTGCAGAAACACAGGCTGAGCATCTCCAAAATGCACCCAAACCAAAAGTCGCCTTTGCTGCTGCTGGAGAAGGAAAGGAAAAGCTCTTCTACTTCTTCTCTGCCTATCCATCCTTGAATTATTCTGAGGCTTAGTTATTCTGAAAGAGAGGAAAAGCCCTTCCGATTTCTTCTCTCTCTCTCTCTCTCTCTCTCTCTCTCAATGTTATTGTGAAGCCTTCCTTTGAAGAAAAACAGGCTGAGCATCTCCAAAATGCTCCCAAACAAACAAAAAGTTGCCTTTGCTGCTGGAGAAGGAGAGTAAAAGCTCTTCTACTTCTTCTCTGCCTATCCATCCTTGAGTTTTCTGAGGCTGAGTTATTCTGAAAGAGAGGAAAAGCCCTTCTGACTTCTTCTCTCTCTCAGTGTTATTGTGAACCCTTCTTTTGCAGAAACACAGGCTCAGCATCCCTAAAATGCGCACAAACCAAAAGTCACTTTTGCTGCTGGAGAAGGAGAGGAAAAGCGCTTCTGCTTCTTCTCTGCCTATCCATCCTTGAATTATACTGAGGCTGAGTTATTCTGAAAGAGAGGAAAAGCCCTTCTGACTCCTTCTTCACTCTCTCTCAGTGTCATTGTGAAGCCTTCCTTTGCAGAAACACAGGCTGAGCATCTCCAAAATGCTCCCAAAACAAGAGCCGCTTTTGATGCTGGGGAAGGAGCAGAAAAGCTCTTCCATCTTCTCTCTCTCAATGTTATCCTGAAACCTTCCTTTGCAAAAACACAGGATTAGCATCCCAAACCAAAAGTCACTTTTACTGCTAGAGAAGGAGAGGAAAAGCTCTTCTACCTCTGGGTTGTTGTTGGTTTTTCGGGCTATATGACCATGTTCTAGAAGCTACTTCTTCTCTGCCTATCCATCCTTGAATTATTCTGAGGCTGAGTTATTCTGAAAGAGAGGAAAAGCTCTTTCGACTTTTGCTCTCTCTCTCAATGTTATCATGAAGCCTTCCTTTACAAAAACACAGGTTCAGCATCCCTAAAATGCGCCCAAATCAAAAGTTGCCTTTGCTGCTGCTGGAGAAGGAAAGGAAAAGCTGATTTACTTCTTCTTCTCTCGCTCTCAATGTTATCATGAAGCCTTCCTTTGCAAAAACACAGGTTGGGCATCTCCAAAATGTGCCCAAACCAAAAGTCGCCTTTGCTTCTGCTGGAGAAGGAAAGGAAAAGCTCTTCTACTTCTTCTCTGCCTAACCATCCTTGAATTATTCTGGGGCTGAGTTATTCTGAAAGAAAGGAAAAGCCCTTCCGACTTCTCTCTTTCTCAATGTTATTGTGAAGCCTTCCTTTGCAGAAACACAGGCTCAGCATCCCTAAAATGCGCCCAAACTAAAAGTCGCCTTTGCTGCGGGAGAAGGAGACGGAAAGCTCTTCTGCTTCTTCTCTGCCTATCCATCCTTGAAGTATTCTAAAGCTAAGTTATTCTGAAAGAAAGGAAAAGCTCTTCTGACTTCTTCTCTCTTGAAAACTGATCTTTCGGCACCTCAGAGTGAAAACAGGTATCTGCCCTCCTGAATTTGGGAGGCTCCCAAAAAATGGATCAGGGGCCCCCATCAAGAGGCAGGACATGAAACAGGTCAAGATTTATTCAGATTGCACAAGCCTATTAGATATCCATTCATACGATTTCAACCCACACAAGGAAACAGCAAGGAAGGAAGATCAGCGAGGCAAACTCTTCTTATTTTGGCTGCACCTCCCAGTAGCCCATCTCAAGATACAACTACGGTTCCTTCCAAGCTCAAAAGCCACAACCAGCATCTCAACTGAGCGATCGAGGTGATTTATTTAGCGATTCAGCTGATATCGGATGCATTGCAGGAATCATTCCACTGCAAGCATCCGATATCAGCTGAATCGCTAAATAAATCACCTCGATCGATCGGTTGGAACTTCCTCCGCTTTGGTGAGGGTTATTATTTTTAATATTTTAAATTGCTGAAATTGACTTCCACTGGCCTCACCAAGGTTTCGGGGCCCTTTTTACGTGGTCCTTGGGGATCCCCTCCGCTGAGGAGACCCTACTAAAAGCAGCTCGATATCAGCTTGAGCTACAGAAAAACAACAAAAGAAAAATACACAGCATTGGAGGGGAATCTTATCACTTGTGTACAGATGACACAGGAGTTAAAGGCACCGTTAGAGGAGTAGATAGAGAAAACAACAACCCTAGAATCCCAACATCTCAAAGATTAGAAGCAAAACAACAAATGTGAGTGATTTATGCCATCTATATAAATAAAAATGTAATGTTCATTTGTGGGATTCACAGAACTCAAAAATCACTGGACAAATTGTCACCAAATTTGGACACAAGACACCTAACAACCCAATGTATGTCCTTCACTCAAAAAATTGATTTTGTCATTTGGGAGTTGTAGTTGCTGGGATTTATAGTCCACCAACCATCCCAGAGCATTCTGAACCCCACCAACGATAGAATTGGGACAAACCTCCCACACAGAACCCCCATGTGGGCCACAGCAACATGTGGCAGGGGACGGCTAGTCTATATAAATAAAAATGTAATGTTCATTTGTGGAATTAACATAACTCAAAAACCACTGGACAAATTATTGCCAAATTTGGCCACAAGACACCTACTAACCCAAGGAGTGACCACCACTAAAAAAAAATTGATTTTTGTCATTTGGGAGTTGTAGTTGCTGGGATTTATAGTACATCTACAATCAAAGAGCATTCTGAACTCCACCTATGATGGAATTGAACCATGCATGGCACACAGGACTCCCAAGACCAACAGAAAACACTAGAAGGGTTTGGTGGGCATTGACCTTGACTTTGGGAGTTGTAGTTCAAATACATCCAGAGAGCACTATGGACTCAAACAATGATGGATCTGGACCAAACTTGGCATGAATATCCCATATGCCCAAATATGAACACAGATGGAGTTTGGAGAAAATAGACCTTGACATTTGGGAGTTGTAGTTACTGGGATTTATAGTTCACCTACAATCAAAGAGCATTCTGAATCCCACCAACGACAGAATTGGGCCAAACGTCCCACACAGAACCCCCATACTTAAGGCCATCCAGTCCAACTCCCTTTGCCAG